ACATATTCAATATTATTATTCTAAACTCTGCTATGTGTTCCTGCTAATTTGATATCTAATAGATAATCAAAGAAATATCTTTCTTTTTCTAGAGATTTATCCTGCAATAAAATCCAGTTTATTGAAAGAGGAACATTTGAAACACTACCATTTTTGCAGTTTGTGTAAGTTACAAATATAACTTCATTATATTTGGAATTTTTATTAAACTTATTATAAACCTCTTTGTTATTCATTTTGAAATATGATTAAAATTTTACTAGTAGAAAGTTACTAAAATTATATAGCAAATCCTTTCCATCTCTAGCAAGATTAGTGTGAGAATTATTACACAGATCAGAGTGAATCATTATAGAACAGTGGTTCTCAACCAACGTGATTTTTGTACCCAGCTGACATTTGGCAATGCCTGGAGACATTTTTGTTTGTCACAACTGTGGGTATGTTACTGACACCTGGGAGGCAGAGGCCAGGATGTTGCTAAACAACCTGCAATGTACACGACAAACCCCACAACAACGAATTACATGGCCAATATGTCAACAGCACTGAAGTTGTAAACCTCTGTTCTAGAGAAATAAAGATCTCTTAACACAAGTGTTTGTTGAGCATTCACTGGTTTGTATCTAGTGCACTGCATGCGTAAATATGAAAGTATAAATCCTAAGCCACTATCTTCTACAGTGAGATTTCTTTAGTGTGTGGAGAAAGTATTGAGGGCATGTTTCATCACATATAAATGAGGATCTCTGCCAAATGATAAATGTTCTGAAACAATACCTTTTTTTCTTTTTCTTCTTTGGCTTGTCTCTCTCTTTTTTTGTAGAAATCTTCGTTGCAATTCACTAACAGAACTGAGCTTTGGAATATTTCAGGCTTGGCATGGAATGCAATTTTCACAGAAGTTGTAAGTGAAATAGATGAACATATGTAAAAAAACTATTTATGTGTAAAAGCATCATACAGTTATTGGTTAACTGGGTACAAGCTCATCATGAATTCTGAAAAGTATGTCTTAAGATCCATCCATTTTTGTCAAATGAGGAAACTAAGGTACAAAGAGGCCAAGAGACTGTGTAACTTACACATGACGGGCTCTGCTTTCCCCAGTTCTGAGCTTTGGTTTGGGCAATAAAAGACAGCAAGCAAGTAATGCTCAAATTAGCTTTGTCATGGGAGCCCCAACAATGCTGCTCTGTTATGGGAATTGTCCTTGAAATCCTCCTTTTGAATATGACTTTGATTCCTGCTCATGTGCAGAGTTTCTAACTGCTGAAATGTGTGCAACATACAGCCATAAAGAAGGAAGCTTAACCCAAAGTCCTCCAGGGAGCAAAAGGTGCAGGATGCTTTCTCAGTGTCAGTTTCTTTTAAGTGGTAAAGCAGAAAGAATTCCTGAAAACCTGCCACAGGGCACTTCTCTCCCCAATCACCCAGAACATTAGTTTTCAAAAAGTATATACCTATGAAGTTAAGAATTATCTGTGGGCAATAGGAACCTTTGCAGTGTAGGAAAAGATGATATTTATGTTAAGCTATAGTGCAAAAAATATTCATAAAGAAAATACATTGCTTTGGTCTAATTCCACATACTTTCTTTCCTGACTACTCTTCAACAAGAAGTGTGGGTTTTATTGCCTTTCAGCTCAAAAATTCTATGATTTCTCTGTGACACAAGCAAATCATAGTGGGTATGTTCAATGGCCTGAAGGGTATTTTGGACTCAAGGTGAAGATCCTCCTCTAAATCTGACTTTGGAAAAGGCAGTCCACCTGTCTTGTGGTTCAGAATTCCAATTTCACAGAGTTCATTTTGGGCTAGAGGAAGGGGTTTAGGATGTGTCTGGAGCTGGATTAACAGTTTTTGCAGACGCCCATCTTTAGGGGCCTCCTCTCTCCCCTTGTTACTTTGATCAAGTTAAAGATGTTTCCTTTTTTCTACTTTTAAGAGTTTTTATCAGGAATTATTTGTTATCTAAAACAGTCAATAAAATGTATTAAGTGGAAGCTGCATACAAGACCCCAAGCTAGTTACAGTTGACCCTCTGCATTGTTGTTTTCCACATCTGCAAATTCAACCAACCAGTGCATCAAAATATTTGAATGAATAAAATAAAATAAAAAATAGAGTGTAATAACATAGCATTTACATTGTATTAGATATTATAAGTAACCTAGAGATGATTTAAAGTATTATAGGA